CAGCAAGAGGAAGACGTTTATAATTGCCCCCACAATGAGGATGCAGGAGCGAAGTGTGAACGTGAGTATGGCAGTGCTCGAGAACTATCTGTCACCTACCTGTACCCCACATGCCCACTCTTGTCTTTATTCTCACCATGAAGTTTCACACAATGGCTGTTTGACTCCTCGTCCTTCACATCTCATACTTTTTAAATTGTGGGCCCTGGAGACAAACATTATCTTCACCGAGATGTCTTATTTCTCCTTGGTTTCTCTTAGTTTCAATCTATATGGGAATCTGTTTCTCTTCTTCACATACACACATAAACATGCAGAGATCCAACAGACACTAAATATTTGTTGAATAGTGTATCTGTATTTCGAGGGATGTAATTGAGACATTCTAGTAATGAATAGAATAATTATAATAATAATGAAAAACAATACCATATATTTTATGAATGTGAGAACAAGAGGGGTTTTGAAAATTATTAGATTAACATCCTTATATTAAACATGAAGAAAGTGAAAATCAGAGAAAATAAGTGTCTTTCCAAAATCAAAAATATTGCTTTTGAATGATGGAGCAGAACTAAAATGACCAGGCTTGACTCTTAACTTGGAATTAGTTCTCTTAGATGACTGCAACCTTCAAACTCGAGGTTTAAACTGCAGAACATGGTCCCACCTCATTCTATGGATTGTCACTCCCCAGAATTTAAGTTCATCTGTGGGAATGGAGCTAGGGTAGGGGGCAATTTGGGAATGCCCATGAGAGTGTCTTTTCAGAGAGGCCTGAGTACCAGCCCTGAACTACAGATCTCTTCAGGGGAGTGAATGAAGAAACCCTGTCCCAGCATGAGCCAGGAAATGCAAGCGTGGCCCCTAGGTGGCTAACTCAAGAGAGTCACACTCTGAAGTCCAGCTTTATAATCAGGCTGGGAAGCTGGTGTGCACGGCTGCTTGATTAAACACTCAGCTATGGAACCAGGGAAGAGCTGACCGTTGACCAGAGATGTCAAGAGCAGTTAGTGCCCAGAAGAGGACAGATTTAGTGACAGAAGACTAGGCTTTGAATCCTGCTGCTGCTATTTCGAGGCCATGTAATCTTAGTCACTTCACTGCTCAGGAACTCAGTATTTTCATCTGTACAAAGGGAGACACTTATCCCATTTCTCTTGAAGAGCTCTGTGATCGTGTGACGGTAAGAAGCGTTAATATGTCAACGCTGCCTGTGACTCACGTGGGAGCTGGTTGAGTGAGTCCCTGGGATACTGCATCAGATTCCGACTTGGTTCACGTCAGTGTGAGACGTGTGTGTGATGAAGCTCTAGGAGGGGCTCTCTTTCCTATTCTGGAAACCCATTTTTCTTGGCCTCTTTGAGACTGAAAGAAATAATCCCCTCTTGGCATGTCCGCATCCTAACTGTGCATTTTTCTTCTCTTTATAGAACATAATCCTGACCTTCTTGGTGCTTGACCTGCAGGTCCAGAGTGACCTTTACTTTTTCATGGGCCCTGACTGGCCCAGCATGAGCATTGGGCCTGCAGGCCTTAGCTGCCGCTCCCTCAGCCCCTCAGCAGGAGTCTGAACACTCTGCCACACCTGGCTCTCAGAGCCAAGCAGCCCCATCGCTGCCTGGAGATATGAGTTGTTGAAGTCCTTCTTGCTGGAGAAGATGCACTCCCAGTCACCCTCTCCTCACTGCTGACCCTTTGACATTGGTTCTCTCCTCCCCTGCTTCTTCTCAGCCAGCCTGGGATCTCCAAGCCTGTTCCTTTGACCATGACAGTCCATTTCTAAGACAAGATCTATGTCTGTAAAGAACATGAAAGGAACAGGACAACAAAAGGAATATTGGAAAGGAAATGTGGGTACACAGTTATCTATGGAACTGGGAGGAAAGCTTAGAGTCTTTTTGAACTCTTTTTCTCAAGCTTCAGGTGTTCACAACAATAACACCTCACTATTCTCTTATTCGTTTATGACAGTAGACCATTTTTCAAGAGCAAAGCAGAGCAGAGCACGATTTGTGATCCTAGAGATTTTCATGACACTTAAGAAAACATTTGACATCCCCTTAATGCCCATAGTAAAATATGTTTGTTGCCCATCTAGATACAACTTGCTAATGTGCTGTGCATTTAACAAGAAGAATCTCACAAATGAATTATCTTAGGAAAAATGTATTCGCATAGAGCTACCACTGGGAGAAGGGAAAGGAAGGGATGCAAAAAGAGTTTGGGGAGGTCCAGAGTTGTGCCTCATGCAAATCAGATGACATCATTTTAATTTTATGAACTCAGACTTTGAAGTCTGCAAGTCTGAGGCAAGACAGAGCAGCACTGAGCTGAGAATCATGATTTGATTCTAAAAATGGACAACTTTAAACTCAGACCAAGTTGAGTGGCTGCAACAAGCCTACATTTATGCTTTCTAATAAAGTACATCTTGAAGTCTCAGCAGTTGCCTCTCTGTGTGATAAACTCTTCCTACCTAAGGGGAAGCAAGAGTGTCAGCTTTCCGGGGATGGACTTTGAGGCAGGATTAGGTAGAAAGGAACCTTACAGCAAATGCAGTCATATGTGGGTACGTGAAACTTGGCCCACACATCATTTTATTTCTGGTATAAATTAACTGTGTTTTATTTTAAATACTTATTTTTGATAGTCTTCTGGACACCTTTTCCCCCTAAAAACAATGCAAGATGCTCATTGAGAGCTCCTTGAAGACATTTTTTGGTGTGTGTATCTTAAGACTTGATTTTTTCTAACAGAGCCACTTTAAGTTCACAACAAAATGAAGTAGAAGCTGCAGAGATTTTCCATATACCTTCTGCCCTCACACAGGCATAACTTCCCCTATTCTTAACATTCCCAGCAGAGTAGCACATTTGTTACCACGAACCTACAGTGAAATATCATTATTACCGAAATCCCATAGTTTACCATTTTACACACGTTACAAATTTATAAGCACGTATTTACCATTACAGTATCATACAGAATAGTTTCAACATCTAAAAATCCTCTATGCTCTGCTTATTCATCCCTCATTCCCTTCTAATCCCCGGCAACCACTGATCCCTTTTACTGTCTCCAGAGTTTTACCTTTTCCAGAATGTCATAATTGGAATTATACAGTATGTAGCCTCCTCAGATTGGTTTCTTTCACTTAGTAATAAGCATTTGTGTTTCCTCCATGTCTTTTCATAGGTTGATAGCTCATTTCTTTCAATCACTGAATAATATCGCATTGCCTGGATGTACCACATTAAAAAAATCATTTATCTATTGAAGAGTATCTTGGTGCTTCCAAGTTTTGACGCTCATGAATAAAGCTTCTGGCAACATCTGTGTGCAGATTTGTGTGTGGAAATAAGTTTTCAACTCCTTTGGGTAAATACTAAGGAGCATTTTTCAACAATACAATCATGCCATCCTGGCCACAGTTGATGCCAAGAGTGGACATTTGTTTCAAGCTGGATGAATCAGCCCTTCCCAGGAGACAGGAACTGTGACTGTAAGTAAATTAGTTTCTTCAAGTAACTGGCCTGTGACAAGTTAACCCAGGAGCTGTGGGTAGTCATTTTCCACATACCACCTAGATAAGAGAATGAGAGGAAACCCTTCCACAGAGATACATGACATGAACTAAACAGATGCACAGAGAGGACCAGAGATGACTGATCTGGGTTCTGTGGCAATTTGTTGTGTGTTTATAACATATGTATATATATAATTTATAACATATATAATATATAACATTTATGATATATATTAAACTTTTTTTTTCAAATTGTCTCGTTGGTTTTTGTACTTCTAACCCAAATAACCCTAACCAACTTTCCTGTTTTAAATTAATAAAGTGATAATTCACCTGTCTGGTGTAAGTTTAGTTAGGTAAGCTCATTTATCAGTAATGAATCAATTCTCACTGTATTTATAAAATCAGATTTACAGAGCTGAAAATGAGGGACAAGGACCTATAACAAATGTACCACTACAACATATTACCCTTGAGTGGTTCTGGTTGGATGGATGACCAATAAACTTATTTCTGCAGGTGACATTTATAGCGCATGCCATCCTTATTAATACACAGATGAGCTAAGGTGATGCCATCAAGATGGTGACATAGGTCATTCCATACTTCAGTCCTCATAAGAAGACCAGCTAGCAACTATCCACAGACAGGACATCACTGTGGAAATTCTCAAAACCAGAGAGTAAGGCTGAAAAGCACCCTGGGCCCCCGGGACCGAGAGGGACCACAGTAAGGTTAGAAGGAGCACTTGCACTTTGCATCGCCCCTCCCCTGGGCTGCTACAGTGCCACCCCGAGAGCACCTCCTTGGGCCTGTGGTTTCTCCAGTAGGAAAGAGAGCCCAAGGTGGACACCTAGCTCCCCCAGCATCGTGGGATACTCCCAGGAGGTCCACCCAGGTCTTGCCTCATGAGCATCACTTCAGTCTTTACTTCAGTATTTCTTCATCAGAATACCCAGTAATCTATTCTGAGGGAAGCTGATCTAGACCTTGAGCAGTCAATAAAATTGGCTACAATTTGATTTGAATTCATGAAGATGCTCTGAAAGTTGTAAGAATGTCTTCATCTCATGATTTCTTCCAGAAGCAGGACGCTAGACCCAAAATTCTCCAGAGAGATTCCTGGGAAACCAGATCCTGCCATTTTTATCCTTCCCCTGACTCACATTTGCCCCTCCTAGGGTTTCTTTTCTTCTCCTCTGAGGTGAACGCATCGTCTTATGGGATTTGACACATAATAATGGGACAGGTGTGCCTAATGGCCCAAGTCCACGTGTTCTGTACAGACTGGCAGTGGGCAGGAGTAGAATGCATCTTCCTGTTGAGGGTCACAGTCTAGGGTGGCTCTGTCCATAGATATGTAACATGAACCACATTAATAATTTAAAATTTTCTAGAAGCCACATTAGAAAAAAGTTTAAAAAAGAAACAAGTAGAATTAATTTTAACAATATATTTTATTTGACTTAATACAGCCCAAATATTTCCAGTTTTAATCAATATAAAATTTCACAAGGTATTTTACAATCTGTTCTTTTTTCTTACTAAGTTTTAAAAATCCAGTGTATAAATTACACTTACAATGTAAGTATAAGATAAAGCCATTGGGGGTCATATCAGCCTTAGTTCTTATTACAGGTAAAACTCTGAAAATTACTGAACATCTTTGAGTTGTAGATTCCTCATCTGTAAAGTGAGTAAATTTTCTAGCTCATAATATTCAAAACTCAACAGATTTGAAATGTACAAATATCTTCTCTTTATGTCCTGACCTTTATCTTACTTCTCCATCACCATCACGGTTATGGTGGCTTTATGATCCCACTTTGAAGAAAAAGAGAAAAAAAACTTGTCTCTCTCTTCCTACACACCCACAAGTTTTCTCTCAAACTTTTCCTTAAGTCCACTTCTCTCAATTCCTGTTCCTGCTTCAGATCTCTGTCATGTGCAGGCTATTCCCTCACTAATTCATCTTCTATATGTTTAGTTGTGTCTTTCCCCTACCATCACCCCCACCACCTAGAGCAGAAGTCACAAACCTGTGGTGCTCTACAGAAATGCTTTGCTTTTAAGCAAAATTTTAAATTTATCTCGAACATTTAAGAATTAGTAGATTTTACATATAGTTCCAAAACTCTGGTCTCAACCAGATGATCTAGCAACAGGTTTTAACCTCATGACAATGACCAACTGAACAGAGTAGCAACTGCTCCCTTAGATGAGGGATGCTTTCTCCAGCCCATCGTTGCCCAACCTGGCCCAATGCCCCGTGTGGATATTACACCCCCAAATTCTTAGTGTAGCATCTAAAGCCTTTCAAGACTTACCCTCTATCTGTGTTTCTTTAGTCTCATTAATGAGTAATATTAATTTGAAGATGAAATCAAAGTGATAATGCATTATAGTAACCAGCAACAAATCTATTGTGAGACTGTATTAGCTTTTCCTGTGATAAATAATCTGTATGGATACCTCATGGCTTACGATGTAAACTTTTATTTCTTGCCCAGGGTAACTGAGTTGGGCTCAGCTGGCCTCAGCGGGGCTTGGCTGCAGGCCATGGGCTGGGTTCAAGTTTCCCCTGTCTCCTCATTCTCAGAAGGGGTTTGAGGAGCAGTCAAATCAAACCATGCCACTGCAATTAAGTGTCTGATTGGAGGCACAAATATCTTGTACATTTACATCCCTTTGGCCAAAGCATGTCCTATAGCCAAGTGAAAAGCCAGTGAATCAGGCACATCCACTTCTCCCAAAGGACACTTGAGCAAGTCACCTGACACTGAGAAAGCATATATAATTCTCTTACAGGAAGGAGGGCAATGGTTGGAAGCAGTAATCCAATCTAATACAGTGTCTTGAAACAAATTTTTTCTCTTCTATGGGCCGCATTTTCTTCATCTATAGTATTTGGGAATGAAAATTTCTTTTCTACTTTTTTCTTTTCTTTTTTTTTTTTTTTACTGCACATCTGGGCATGTGGCCCAGCCAAACTGACACATAAAATGAACCATCAGAGCTTCCCCTATGGAAGGCAAGTCCCAGTTTGCTGGATATGACCAGTGAGCCTTGTAGATCTCTTCTCTGTATTGTGCTGTGGTACTCACCTCCCCAAACTCTTAAATGTGAGTTCAAGTCACCTCTGTGCCCTCATCACTGCTCCATGGAGCAAAAGGTGCTGAATTCCCAAAAGAATCCAGATCCACTGTCTTGTGAAAATTCTTATCCTGATGGTGGAAACCCCGTGATAAAATTCTTTCCACATTCTTCTCCTGTCTGGTGGCTCACCATTTCACTCACCACCTCTCAAATCAGCTCTTACCCCCATGTACCGCATTACAATCTTTGTGAGTGGGTTCATGATTTTTCGTTCATTACAGTCCTGCATAACTTATATGCATGTTCCATTTCTTAGTGTATCTCTATGTATTAATGTTATAAAAATAAAAGCACAAAGTCTTTTAAACCCATGCAGAAGGAGGGGAGAGATGTTTTAATCTGAGGGAATTGTGAAGGCACACATGTGCATAGGAGAAAGGTGTGAAACAGCACAGGGTATGTAAAAAAAAAAGTCTTATGCTCTGAGTTTAGAGGGCTCCACATTTCTAATTGAATTTTTTAAATTTTATTTTATTGAGTCATAGTCAGTTTACAATGTTATGTCAATTTCTAGTGTAGAACACAATTTTTCAGTTATATATGAACATACATATATTCATTTTTGCATACTTTTTCACTGTGAGCTACCACAAGATCTTGTATGTATTTCTCTGTGCCATACAGTATAATCTTGCTTATCTTTTCTATATACATCTGTCACTACCTACAAGTTTTGAATTCCTAGTCTGTCCCTTCCCACCCTCCTCCCCCTGGCAACCACAAGTTTGTTTTCTATGCCTATGAGTCTGTTTCTGCTTTATATTTTTGATCATTTGTCTTTTTCTTTTCTTTCTTTTTTTTTTTAAGATTACACATATGAGCAATCTCATATGGTATTTTTCTTTCTCTTTCTGGCTTACTTCACTTAGAATGACATTCTCTAGGGATATCCATATCACTGCAAATGGCATTATGTTGTTGGTTTTATGGCTGAA